AAAGAGTTGGATTCAGTTCTAAGGTGAAGGCAGAGAAACAAGCAGGCACAGCCTTTCTGGGAAAACAGATGTCCCTCTCCCAGCACCAGACAGTCACACGGGTTGAACTTAAAGGGCCCCCTGGAAGGCCACACTCACCTTCACGTGGTAGCCTTCAGTTACCAGGAAACTTGTGCTGCTGATGTTTTTATGGCATTCAGGTGATTCCGAATTGTGCATCCTGACATGACCAAAGGCAGGGAGTATTAGAGACCTTTGCACAGACTTTCCTGGGCAGCTTTACCGTCATTACTGGGACAAAGGCTGGTCAGTACCATGCCATCCTCAGGGGTAGCTATCCATTTATAGATGGGTAAGGGGGAGAGGGACAGGGACAGGTAGATATAAAGCTCCTGAATACTTTTAGCTGTTTATAAGGGTGAAGGGGCCCCAGTGCCCATGGATATTCCTCTGCAGATGGCAGCTGTGAGCTGTGAACAGCAACATATGCCAAGTGGGGGATGAGTATGCAGAGCTGGTGAAAAGGATCAGAGGCCATCTGGATGGGGCACTAACAGCATCCCATACAGCCCAAAATTACTTCTCATAAAATCCGCTAGTTTAGGGAGTTCACATTAATTATTAATAACCCAATTATTGTATATAAATAAAATCAATAGCTAAAGCAGTATAATAAAAAATATGGGATAAGTGGTATGCAAGATGACATAGTAAGATTATTTTCCTTTCAATTTATTCCAGTCTTTCCGGTTACATCAAGGAGAAAGTCTCAGTTCGGTGTCTTTAATACCTCTCTAAACCTGCTGATATCGCCTTTGTACAAAGAGAATGTGGGCCTGAATTATAGACCGCGTGGCAGCCAGCATCGTCCAGACGGAATTTAATAACATTATTTTGGTTTCATTTATGGTCCACCTATTTGTGGCAAGTGATTCTGGTTTCTGACTTATGGTAGTAATGAAAAGTGTCCTTTTATTTAGGTTTTTAAAATGTGAGCTAATTTAAAAAACAATATTAAGTAAATAATATTGGCAGAATTGTGGATATGGTAAAAACCATGGAGGCGGTCTGTGCATGAATGACCTTTGGGGACCCTTGAGCTAAAGAAACCATAACTCCATATGTTTGAGTAGAGACAGTTGCCAGATAAAAATACATGACACCCAGTTGATTTTGAATTTTGGATAATGCATGAGACACACTTCCACTAAAAATTATTGTTACCTGAAATTTTAGTAAAAGTATGTCTTGTGTAATGTTTGGGCTCTATTTATACTAAAAAATTATTATTGTTTATCCGAAATTCAAATTTAACCAGGCATCTTGTATTTTTTTATTTGCTAAATCTGGCAACCTTAAGAGTAAGGCCTGGACAAGAGCAGCCTGGACATTAAATTCAACCCTCAGTTCTGGCAGCTGGTGCTCACTGGCTTCAGCCTCCTTTCCTCCTCCTGTCTGAGGTGTTATAATCAGAGTAAGTGGTAAAACAGCTGCTGTCCGGGAGACTCTCTGGGGCTTCTCGCCTGTTCCCTCATCACCTCTGGGAGTCTCAGTAGAGGAGGCAGACTCGTTCCGTTCTTCTCAGCGCCCTTTCACCCCTCACAGTACCTGTACAAGCCTTTGGCAGCCCCCAAGACCAGGACGATGCGTTCGGCCAATGTGAGGTCCTTTTTCTTATCCAGCAGTTCCCTCAGGGTCCCGAGCTCGCAGTACTCCGTGACAATGGAGAATTGAGGTGGGGTCACTGATGGAAAGGACCAGACACTGTGAAGATCAGGCCCCTCAGAGGTCCTGCTCTGCAGCCCACCTCCCCCTTTCTCTACAGAGACAGACTCAGGTCTGCTGTTGCCCCCTGCCCCCGCCGCCATTCTCTACCCGCACCTCACGGTTTGCTCCCTGAACTCCTTGAATGGGTCAAATGCCCACAGAGTTCCCATACCTCCCCTTCATGGCATTTGGCATGTCAAAATTCTACATTCTCTAGTTATTTGAGTAATGTCTCTGCCACTCAGCTATAAACCCCCAGTGGACAGGGTCTGTTTGGTTTATACAGTGATCACAAGGAGCTTAGTAAATATGTATGGACGGACTGAATGATACACAGATCACAGGGGCTGGTGAAGGGAGCTCAGACCAGAAGTGCAGGTCTCAGGTCATGAGCCTGAGATGCAAGAACTGACACACAAAGAGCGAGTCAGTTACCTCGGCCATCACCCAGGAGCAAAAACATCACCGGAGGTTTTCCTTTAGTTGCCTGAGGCTGTGGAGAAATTTCCAAAGGAGAGAAGACAGGAATTGCTCTGTCCTCTCTGTAGGCAAGAGCAGAAAAATATAACCCTCAGGAGAGGCCAGGCTATGAGAGAAAATGCAGCCACATTGAAAAATAAAAATTTCAAAGAAACTGATGCATGAGGTTCTTGGTAAAGGGGCAGGTTAATTTAGTTCTTAGGTTTGATTTATACTAATGATGATCAAGGGTAGATTCCTTATTCAGGTCAGTCAGCTTTATAACGTTTTCTAGCAACAAAACACAGGCCAGCATCTGACCAAGTCCCCCTTGGTTCCCAGTGAACTGGCAGGAGGAGATGTGGCCGCATTAGTGCAAACCAGCTCTCGGGCCGAAGCCAAATTCAAGCTGACCTCTCCCAAAAGATGGGAACCTGCATCTTGAGATGTGAAAAAATTAACATTGATAATAATAACACTGTGTAGATGCCACCTTTTCAGCTGTTCTTTAAAAATGCAATGCATTATATAACACAGAAGGTACAAGACAGTCCACCAAAAGAAGAACCAACCCCAGAAGCACTCCTTACCTGTTTCATTAATGCAAATCCCAAATATACGCAGGATGTTGGGAGAATCAAATTTCTTCATGGTTTTGATCTCATTCGTAAAAGTATCCCTCACTAGTCTATGAAGGTAAAAGAGACAAGTAAGGTTTCAGGACTGGGAGGTCCTTCCAAGAACATTTAGTGTAGTGACCATCTGTGTGTATGTGGAGCATGAGGGAATGTCAGCATCTTCTGGGGTGAGAACAGGTGCTGTGATGAGCTTGGCCGTGGATGGCAGTATGTGGAACCCCTCAGATGTATTTGGCAGCAGAATTAGCATGCATAATACATGCTACAACATTGATTTATCTTGAAAATATCATGCTAAGTGAAATGAGCCATACTCAAAAGGACACATATTGATTGTATTATTCCATTTACGTGAAACGTCCCAAACAGGCAAATCTACAGAGATAGAAAGTAGGTTACATTTGCCTAGGGCTAGAAATGGTGGGAGCGAGAGTGAATGGGGAGTGACTGCTAATGGGGAAGGGAGGGTTTCTTTTTGGGATGACGAATATGTTCTAAAATTACATGATGGTGGTGGTTGCACAACTCTGTAAATATACTAAAAGCCATTCAATTGTATACTTTTTTTTTAATTTTTAATTTTTTTTTTTAAGGTGAAGTAACCCTTGGTTGACCTCACAGATTGCAAGGACCTTGTCAGCTTACAATCCCTTATTTTTTATTTTTTTATGCCTACAGCACCCGGTCTTCCTAGGTGGTCTCCCATCCAAGTACTAACCAGGCCCGACCCTGCTTAGCTTCCAAGATCAGATAGGATTGGGCTTGTTCAGGGTGGCATGGCCATAGACCAATTGTATACTTTATATAGATGAATCTTATGGTATGTAAATGGCATCTCAATAAAGCCGTTAAAAAATACAATTCCAATCAAAATCTCAATGTATATTTTGAGGAATGTCATAAAGCTTTCTCTGATATTTATTTAGCTTAGAAATAAGAGTCAAAAGCAGAGAAATGCCTTACTAGATGTTGAGAATTATTGCAAAGTCATAATAAAAAAAACAAAACTGTATTTTTGGTGCAAAGACAGAAAGATTAACAGTGGAACAGATTAGAGAAATGAGAGCCAGATCTATGTCTAAAAAAAAACATAACATACAACAAATGTGAATGTATGCATGTATAATAACAACATACATTTTGCAAGGACACATGCAAACAAAACATGCTTTATTGTATGTGGAGAGGAGAGGGGGCTGAAGGGCATAGAACTTTAAAAATATCTAAACACAAGAATAAAAGAGAAGTTTCTAGAACTGAGGTTAAAGGACATGCGTCTAAGTCTAGGCTCTGCTCTATAAGAGTAGAGGGCAAGTCATTTAACCCTTTGGGGCCCATGTTCCCTCACCTGAAACTGGAGACAATATGCTTCTCTCCTCGGGGAGTTATAGAGAGAAAGTGAAATAACACACAGAAAACTATACAGAATGACTTACGCACTGCTTCTAGTCTGGGGGTTGTCAAATACTTTTATGGCCACTGAAGCCTGGTGGTATTTTCCTTTATAAAGTCTGCCGAATTCATTTTTCCTTATCAGGGTCCAATCTGTTTGTGAAAGCTCCTCCATCTTAATCTCCTTGATTGGATATTCTGGGATTTTCTTATTGGATTTCTGTAACTTTGACACTAGAAGTGAAGGAAATAAAAGAGTCAGTGAGATGAGGAAGGTGTTCTAAGGGCAGAGGCATCTTAGACACATGTGAGTGAGAAGCCCTGTGCCAAAGCTGCCCTGGCTGGACGGGGCTTCTGATCAACTCATCCCGGGGGAGAAGTTCCAGTTCCTCTGAGTGACTGGTACAGACACAGCTGGATGGTTAACAGAAATGTGTCATGCACTTCCTTTCCCTGCTCTTCAAATCCTGTCTGTCTCTCCAGCCTAAACCTCCATCTTGAACTCTCTCTCTCATTTTGGAGTTCTCCCTACTCCTACCGCCATGTGGCTTGGCACCTGAAAGTTTAGCATCTTGTCTAGTCATTTCCGTTCTAATAGATACATCGTTCAACCTCAGTAGCTCTACTGCTGTGTTCACATGTCTTTCTTTCCTCTCCCTTCCTCTACCCCATGGCTATGAGCTCCTGGAAGCCAGAGTCTTTCTCTGCATCTTACTTTCCACCAGGCACAGGCTCCAGCATAAAGCAGATACAGATTTGTCTAATGAGTGATGAATGAGTATTCTAAATTTGATTTGAATTTATTTTTGGAAATTCAGCAAATGAATCAAAGCTCTTATGTTATCTAGAGGAAATTTTCAGCACTTTGACAGGTAGTAGATGGTATCTTGCTGGTCGAGAAGTTTCCTTCGAATGGTACACCATGGACAGAAGCCCGGGCTAGTCATGAGCACATTCTAAACATGTGGGCTGCTTCCGGCCACCCAGCCCAGAGATGGGACAAGGGTCGGGGAAGAAGCAAGCTGGAGTGCCTAGTAAACAAACGACTTCTTGTTTGGGGGCAGTCGGAAGCTGGAGGTCACATGATAACTCACACTGCTTCATGATTTCTTCAATGCCGATTTTCAATTGCCTCAGCGAAGCTTCTATAATTTCAGTTTCTGCAGGAAAAAGAAGAGCAAATACTAAAAAAACAGAAATGCTAATTAAGAGCACACCAAGACCACCCCCCTCTCTCTTTTTTTTTTTTTTTTTTACCTATCATATTCATTGCAGTAGGAATTACTACTGGTCACAAATACTCGGTTTCCTACTTCCAAGCACACAGGAAGTGCCTTGAAGTATGGCCATGTGACTTGCTCTGGCCAAGAAATGAAGTGAAAGAGATGTCAGGGACTTTTGTGTCAACATAAAAGTGCCATAATATTGAAAGGAGGAGAGCTCCCTTGGAGAGTTTCCTGGATTTTGCCTTAATAAGAAATAAACTTTGTTTCTTTAAATCATCAACAAGGTCAAGAGACAACCATCCGAATGGGAAAATATATTTGCAAGCAACGCCTCCAATAAGGGCCTAATATCCAAAATATACGATGAACTCATACAACTCAATAACAACAATAACAACAACAACAACAAAAGAATCCAATCAAAAAATGGGCAGAGGACCTGAACAGACACTTCTCCCTAGAGGACAGAAAAATGGCTAACAAATATATGAAAAGATGCTCAACATCACTAGCTATTAGGGAAATGCAAATCAAAACTACAATGAGATACAATCTCACACCTGTTAGAATAGCTATAATCAACAGGACAAGTAATAACAAATGTTGGAGAGGGTGCAGAGAAAAATGAGCCCTCATATACTGCTGATGGGACTGCAAACTGGTACAGCCACTATGGAAAACAGTATGGAGGCTCCTCAAAAACTAAGACTTGATCTACCATATGATCCAGTAATCCCTCTACTGGGTATTTATCCCAAAGACTTGAAAACTCATATCAGAAAAGATATTTGCACATCAATGTTCATAGCAGCATTATTCATAGTGGCCAGGACATGGAAGCAACCGAAGTGTCCTACGGTAGATGATTGGCTAAAGAAGCTATGGTACATATACACAATGGAATATTACTATTCATAAGACTAGATGAAATGCTGTCATTTACAACAACATGGATGGACCTCGAGATAATCATGCTAAGTGAAATAAGCCAGACAGAAAAAGTTGAAAATAACATGATATGACATATATGTGAGATGTAAACCTAAAAGCAACAAATGAACAGGACAAACAAACAGAGACTCAGGGACATTGACAATGGACTAGTGGTTATCAGACGGTAAGAGGGAGGAGGGAGGTAGATGGGGGAAAATAAAATTAAATCATTTCTTCGGATAAAAAAAATTAATTAAAAAATAAAATTAATTAATTAAAAATTAAAAAAGAGAAAAAGTTATTAAAAAATGTGAAGTTTGTGTATAGTGTGGGTTTTTAATTAATTTAAAAAATATATAAACTTTGTTTCTTTAAGATGCTGAGTTGTTTTTTTTTTTTTAACCACAGCCTAATCTAACCTATCCTTATTATATACTCAGAAATACATTTAAAAATTGATAAAACACTATATAGGGTGGGCAACCCTATATAATTTTCCCAGGCTTAGGAGTTCCACCTAGTTCAAGTGCCTCTGTAGGTCAAGCCACTGTCACCTCTTACCTAGCCTTTAAAGTGGGACCTTCAGTGCTAAAACCAGGAAAAGTCTCTAATGGAAAAAAGTAGGAAGAGACAGAAAATCTCATACATTGTTGATGGGAGTGGTATTTGTATAACCTCTGTGGAGGGCAATCTGGTAAACACTACCAAATTTAATATTGACCCAGCAATTAGAGCCAGTAACTTTACTTCTAGGAATCGTTCCCAAAGATATCCTGAAATATACACAAAGATGCTCAAGGCAGGACTATTTACAATTGTGAAAAATTGGACACAAATGTCCATCAATAGGGAGCTGCTTAAATCTATCCGGTCCATGTATACCCAGGAATACTAGACAACTCTATGGAAATTTATATGGAAGAATATTCAAGATTCTTTAATGAGAAAAGCAAGAAGCAAAACTGTGTGTTCAGGATGCTAATGACTGTGTAACAATAAAATACACATACTTAAATCTCTGGAAGGCTATTGAAGAAACTGTAAGAGATTGTGTCTGGGGAAGGAAACAGGGTCCCTTGATATCATGGATGAAAAGATTTACTTTTCATGCTGGCCCCTTTAGAATTTTGTACTATATAAATGTATTACCTGATGAAAATGTTTTGAAAAAATTTTAAAGCAAGAGCAGGAAATCAATCCTGTCCTCCACGTTGCTGACACCAACATGCCTCCCACCTCCACCAGGACGTGGACCAGTGAGCGCTGATTATTAGGACAGCTGGGGGCCTTTCAGCTGGGTCAGCCTCTGCACCTCCCCAGCCCAATCCCTGAGTCTCTTTCTCCTTGGGAGCGGGTGTTTGGTAGAGGGATTATAGATGCCTCATTTCCCCTTATCCAGAAAAGGACCCATGTTGCCCACAGGTCTCCTCCAGAACTGGTTGTTCATGTTTGTTTCCCACTGATCTGACTGGGGATGAACCACCCTCCATATCGAAGTGGCAGAACAGTTATTCCTCTGGGCTCCAGGGCCCAGAAGGTTCATCCAAATGTCTTTTGCCTTCTCCTCAGGTCCTCTCTCTCTACCCACAACACTTACAAGAGGGAAGGTTTGGAATTCATATCACCAGGATCTGAAAAGGAGTAAAGAGGCCACATTTTTTCCATCCGTCTTCTTTCTTCTCCCTTCTGGGTCCACTGTCATACCCCACTCCAACCTAGCTCATATCTTATCCCCTTAGTGCCTTGTGCTCTACTGAGTCCACCTAGTTCAAGCGCCTCTGTAGGTCAAGCCACTGTCACCTCTTACCTACCCTTTAAAGTGGTCTTCCTACTGGGCTCACACCTCCACTCTTGCCCTCTGGCGTATGTCGAATTATTGGTCCCAATTCTTCACTCCTATGTAGTAGTACTATACATATCCACTCCCTGGCCATAGCCTTGTAGTGGGCAACTGTACCTCCCTGTCCCTTGCTGTTGGGTTTGGCCACATGACTTGCTTTGGATATTAGTGGATATGATAACAAGTAGAGGCTTGTACTAGCACTGCTGGGCTCGCCTACTTGCATTTCTGCCGTGAGAACATTGTCTAAGTACTCACTGCATCTGCAGCCTGGCTCCAGAATGAGACATGTTAAATAGACCCGAATTGGACCTGCTGCCTAGAGCCAAGCCCAGCCAAGCCTACCTGAGATCTGGAGAACCCAGTAGACCCACAGGTCTGTGAGCAGGAGAATTAATGAGTATTGTTTTAAGGCTCTGAGTTTTGGGATGCTTTGTTATGCAGTATTAGTACAGCAACTGATTGATACACATCACTACAGTCCATTTCCCACATGGCAGCCCAAGTGATTTCCTTTTAATACAAATCAAATCATGACAGGCTCATGTTTAAGGACCTCCCTTCACTGGCTTCCTATGACTATTAGAATAAAATCTAAATTTCTTATCATACGTTCAAGGTCATGGGCATGACCTTGCTCCTACATTTCCGGCCTACTTTTCCACTTTCATCTGGTACTGCTCTGTCTCCCTTGCCTACCACATCAAAGTTTCCTGGCATTCTGGTTATTCATTACACATGCCACATTTATTCCCATCTTGGGGCCTTTGCATTTCCTGTTTCCTCTGCTGGAATGCTCCTTTCTCTCATCTTCAGATGGCTTGCTCCTAATTATTCAAGGTGTCCATCCAAATGTCACCCAGTCAGAGAGGCTTTCCCTGACCACTCTCTCTGCACCCACTGTCACTTTCTGTCTCATTATCCTGTTTATGACTTCCATTGCCTTCAGATAACATGATTTACTTAGCTCTTTATCTGCAAACTTTACATTCCACAAGGGCAGAGATCTTGTCTATTTTGATCGGGGCTGAATCTCGAACATTTAGAACAGTGTCTGGCACACAGTACATACACAGTCACGTGCCTCACAATGCCATTTCAGTCAACGATGGATTGCATATACCATGGCGGTCCATAGGATTATAACAGAGCTGAAAGATTCCTATCGCCTAGTGATGTGTTTATGATGCTGTTGGTATAAACAAACCTGCTACACCACCAGTCATATAAAAGTATAGCATATTCAACTATGTCCATTGATAGGAAATTACTATGTTACTGGTTTCTTTATTTACTATATTATACTTTTAATTTTTATTTTAGAGCCTACTCTTTCCACTTACAAAAAAACGTTTGCTGTAAAACAGTAATGTTGTGCTATGCCAGCAGCAGCCTCAGAATCCCATGTTTACTTGTCTCTTGAGTGCATCACTTTCTCTTGTGCTTGACCTAATCTCATGCTGGTTGGTACAGTATATGCTGTATAGGCGTATAGCCTAGGAGCAATAAGTCACACCATATAGCACACAAGCGGTGGGCTAGACCACCTAGGTTTGTGTAAGTGCACTCTGATGTTTACACAACAATGAAATTGCCTAATGATGCATTTCTCAGAACACATCTGTCCTTAAGCGTCAGTACTCAATTCGTGTTTGCTTAGTTAATTAGTTAATTCATGTTTGCTTAGTTAATTAGTTAATTCTTCTTTTTGGGTGGTTTCCATATTAACTGAATGTCCTGAAAAATTAAGGCCGAGAGGAATTAGCTTCTGAAATTCCAGATATGACATCTTCCCCATCAGAATGGAGAAGAAAGAAGACTTCTTAGAATCATCCCTACCCCTACCCTCTCCCCCACTCTGGCTTGCCCAAATTTCACCAGCCTCGACCACATCTGGGCCCTGGGATGTTGGAGGTCTGAGTAACATTAATGTAGGAAAGAAGCATGAGAACTATAAGAACTGACTGAACCTTAAAACAAGTGGAATCCAGAGCCTGCTACATGCTGTTAGACACGGACCCTGGTTGATTGGCCATCCGGCCAGACCATGAGGAACCTAAAAACAAAGGAAGATTCCCGTAGAGATTACTAACAACTATTCAGCCATACCATAAAACAGAAACAGGAAAACAAAGACTTTAAGTTGTACCTTGCACAAGTTAAAGATAAACCCAACCATCCATTCCATTCTTTACTCCCTATAATCAGTAATTTTTCACAGACACTAAAAAATATATAAAGCCAGCTCTTTAGCCGATCGGAGTCTTATTCTCTGACTCTGAGAGGAGACCACATTCTGTCTATGGAGTGTTATTCCTTCTCTAATACACTTTTCTTTGTCTCTAACTCTGGCTCGCTCTGGAATTCTTTCCTGTGCAAAGCCAAGGACCCTCTGTCAGCATAGGGCTTGAGTCCCCACTTGAGAGGATTCGCTCTGTCCCGCATCAACATGAATAAACACATGCTCAAACCTCGTCAGCTTCCCTCCTCCTCTGGTAAATCAAAATGAGATTAAAATGCCCCCATATATACTCTCCCCACCCCCAAATAAACCTTACCACTTAGACTTTGGAAGACTCTCCAGTCTTCCTCTGCATCCTGCTCATCTTCTTGTTGCCAGCTTGCTTTTTGGCCGATCCTTAAAACACTTGCCCACTGACTCATCTGAAACACCAGCGAGAGCTCCTGCCAGACATTGCTCAGCCTCTGGTTTATGTCTTTGAAGAGTCTTCTGTCACCATGTGCTGTTAGAAACTTAAGGGTATTAGGTTTATTGCTAAACTTATTTATCTTCTTCTTAGCTTCCTCAAGGACAGCCTGGAAATGGTTCAGGGCTTCAGTGATCTCGGTGGACAGGTTCTTCTTTTCTTGGGCCTGGAGTATTTGCAGAGGCTTCAGCAGGCGGTGGACACGGTCCTTTAGACGCTGGCACTGTTGCTTGCAGTATTTCATCTCTTCACATTGTTTGTAGACAGATTGGCCTAAGGAGATGACTGTCCCCAATGTATCCATTCCTGGGAAAAAACTGATAAAATGTGTTAAAGTCCCAGAATCACCTGTATATTTACTACTGGGCTAAGGGAAACTCAAAGGTGTCTGTGATTTAAATGGCTGAAGAGGTCTCCCCACTATTTTCATGTAAGGTAGAGGTGGCTTGCCATTTACCAAAATCTGCCTGATCTTCCATAACAAGAGTTGTGGCTGGGAAGTGTTGGCTTAGCTAGAACTATATTTCCTAGCCTTCGTTAGGGCTCGATGTAGCCTTGTGACTACTTTTCACCAATGGGGTGTGAGTGGGTATGATATGTGCTACCTTGGGCTGAGGCAAGTTTGTCTCCTCTACACCCTATCAGCTGGATGCACAGGATGATGCATCCCTAGGGACGATGATGTCCCAAGAAGGAAGAATCCTGGATCCCTGAAGCATCGCTTTGAGGAGGGCTACTCACGGACCTGGCATATCTGCTGTGAACTGTCAAATGAGTGAGAAATAAACTTCTACTGCATTTGAGCCATTTTGGGGTCCATTTGTTACATCACTTCAGCCTATTTTAGCCAAAGTATAGGGGCGAATATAGGGTGGTGGGTTGGGAAGCTCGGGCCCTGTCTAAAGCAGGCAAGAATTCCATCAAGTCACTCTTCAGGGATAAAGAGCAATAATAGTGGAAGATCTTCTAGTTTTTAAAGAGCAGTCAGAAACCTGGATTTTTAAATCTTTTAAATCTTTTGATCTAAAATTTTGCAACCAAGTCAAAACATGTTTTAAAAACTGTGCAGTCCCACACCATGTGGGTTAAATAAAACACGTCTGCCAACTGGATATTGCCCATGAAGCCCCGGTTTGCAACCTTGGCCACAGTCGGCCAGGGATTTTCAGGATTGTAATAGAAATTGGCTTCTGTCAATCTCAAAATTTTCTTTCTTTTTTCTCAGTGCTTGAGCATCCCTGCCTCCCTAGTCCTCCCCCCACCCTCCTGTGTTGTGTTTTTAGCAAGCTTTAAATTTATTCTAGCCTCCCTTCCCCATTGGCCTGTGCATCAATAAGACCTCATGTTACAAGAGCTGCCCACCTCAGAGGCATTTGCACTAAAGAATCAGGGATTTTCCAGGTCCAGAGAAATGATAGTGGACATTTGTGTTGCCTACGCAGTATCCATTTCTCAACTTTCTATTGCTGCCCAGATTTCCAGCAGCGATCTGCTTCTCCCCCATTCAGCAATGAGTTTATGGGGAGCTGGCCCCATCCCTGGTTCTAGGGGTGAAACTTGATGCGCCTAGCCAGTAGTTCTCAATCAAAGGTGATTTTTGCCCTCCAAGGGACTTTTGGCAATGTCTGGAGATATTTTTGATTACCATAACTGGGGTAATCAAAATTGCTACTATTGATATCTAGTAGGTAGAGGGAGGGGTGCTACAATGCATAGGACAGCCCCTCCACAACAAAGAATTATCCAGCCCAAAATGTCAATAGTGTAGGGGTTGAGAAATCTTGATTTAAAAGCCATCAGACGATTCCTAATAGCCTATCACAACGATTGATTCAAAACTGGGCACCTGGGCTAACTCGAATGGAGGGGAATGTTTGCTGGGGAGGTTCTCGGATCCCCTAAGACAGCCCAGGAAGCCAGCCTCTATCTAATCTTGATCTCGCTATTTCTCCCTCTCTCTCTCCCCGTCCTTCCCTTCCTTCCTCTTTCTCTCTCTTCTCTGAATATGAGTGAGAAAGCATGGAGCCCCTATCCTAAAACCTTGGAATGAAGCTAACCTGGATGGCAGAATGGAAAGAAAAGAAGAATCTGAGTCCTTGATGACAACATTGAACCACTGGTTTAAACTGACCCTGAAGTCTACCTTATTCCTCAATTACAGGTTTCATGAACCAGTAATCTTCCTTATTATTTAAATCAGTTTGAGTCATGTTTGCTGCACTTGCAACTAAAGGCAATTGGGTTCAGTAATGAATGACAATAATAATAATGATCACAAATCTCTCTATTCCCTCACTATATGCTAAGTGCATTGGAACCACAGCTCATCGTTTTACAGATGAAGATACTGATGTTCAGGGAAGTTGAAGTTAAATAAATACAAGACCATGGAAACAGTTTCCAAAGTTTTTTTTTTTTAAATAAATAAAGAAGAAGACTTACTTATAAGATTAGAATATATTAAAAATTATAAGATCTAAAATTGCTTAGGGCTTAATAAGTATATAATAAAGATATCGAAAGGCTAAAAGGAAATATGAATACACGTATACTTTGACTTAATGACGAGACTTTCTAGGAACTTTCGCTGTTAAAAAGCTTCTATGTGTATAGCTAGATAGATACTAAGATGTTCATTGCAGTGCTATTTATAATATGTAAAACTGCTAACAACCCCAGTTAATCTCAACAGCTCAATGAAATAGGTAGGAAACCTATTATCACCATTTTACATATCGGATAACAGTTTGGAGAATGTCATTAAACCTGAAACCCAAATCTGGCTTTAAAGTATGAGTAAGTGAAACCAAATAAACAACCAGTTGATATACTTTTACTTCCGCTGTCTTAAAGTTATGCTGATGTGGCAAGGAAGTAACAGGTATTAGGCCATGCCTAAAAAGACTCATCGGATCTGGGGCTACCCAGCTATTTCCAGTTGCTAAGCAGATGCCTTCAAGGCCATTTCTTGGGACTCATGAGGGCAATGGGCTTTTACACCTTTCTCTGGTCCACTCGAGATAGAAGCAGATGTGAAACTGTTGCTCAAGAAATCTTGTGGATTTCAACTTCATAGCTTCAAGCTCCAATTATCTTATTACCAGCTTCATCCAAAAGCCATACCTCAGCAATAACTAATCAGAAACGATAATGGGGGAAATACCCCACTCATAAAAGTGACAATTTGAAACAAAACATTTTATAGAAAAAGTGATGATGTGGTATGAAGAAAACCACACAAAACAAAACTTGAGGAAATGAAGAGAACTGTTATAGCTCTGGCTGGGAAGATTAAACATGACAAACCTCGCAATCCTTCCCAAATTTGAACCCAATTTAATGCAATTCCAATAAAACTCTCAATGGTATTTTTTGGTATTGAAACTAAATGATCTTAAAGTCAATTTCAAAGAAGCAATTAGTAGAGATTTTTAAAAAAATAAATGAGGATTTTAAAAACAATTTTTAAAAAATAAATGAGGATTTTTAAAAAAATAAATGAGGATTTACCTAAAAGATTAAAATACATTAAAATTGCTTAGAGCTTTTTAAGTATAAGATATCAATAGGAGGAAAGGGAATATAAATACATATATACTTTGACTTGATTATGTGAATTTCTAGGAACATTTGCTGTAAAAAAGCTTCTATGTATAGATAGGTAGATGGATACTAAGACGTTTATTGCAGTGCTATTTATATGCAATACTACTAACAACACCAGTAAAAATATGTTCATATATTACTTATAGTAAAACAATGAGGGGGAAAAAGTTATTATTTCTAAAAGTGAAAAATCTTAAAGTGGTAGTAACAATATAAATTCATAAATAATCTAATGTGTTTCCTCGTCTCTTCCAAAAAAAAAAAAAGTTATTAGGCATGCATTTTCTGATGAGACATTACTCTCCTTGTGCCTTAAAGGGGCTCCATAAAAGGATTATCATGTGGGCATTATAATGAAGTACTGGAATCATCTATCTTGGAAATCTTCCCAAGGACTACCTGGAGTTCCTCTGTCTAGGGCTTCATGGACGGTTCTTCCGAGCTGGGTCCGAGGCCCCTCCGCCGCCACCTCCACCCTGATCCCTAACCCTATTCTACATCTTCTATGGCAGGAGGCAGGCAGAGACCCAAAACAGACAGCTCCACCACCAAAGAAGAAACGAAACCAACTTGGTCTTGAGTTCCAGGAAAAAAAGACGGAGAGTCACCTCTCATCCGCTACCCCCAATCTAACCTCACTGTCCGAGGATCTGGTTGCACCCTCTGCCCTGCCGCCTCCAGGGACCGTGCGCCCCGGGCTGACCCCCCAGACTCACCCTTGTCCCTCCAGACTCACCCTTGTCCAATCTGTACCGTGCCCAGTTCCAGGAGGACAACTCCTGCTAATCAGACGACTGCCTTCCGCCCGGGTGGAGAAGTCTCCTGTTGCGTGGCCCCAGGGGAGTTTTGAGTCCCTGCGCCTCCTCTCCGGTGCTCCTCGCTCTGCGCGCCTGCTGGTGGTGTGGGACGCGACAGGATGCCGGCTGCTACCGGGCTGTCCTTCCCTCCAGAAGCCAAAGGCGGCGTGCGCTGCGCCTGCGCCCCGCCCCTGCACATATCCGCGCAGTCAGCGTATGGGACTGCCGTTTCCGTCCTGCGCGCTCTAGAAGCCACGGCGCCAAGGCTGAGACGCGGGCGGGAAAGTCTGAGACGCCTGGGAGCTTTTCACATGGTTCCTGTCGCCAACCGCCAGGTTCACTCGCGATGGCTCCCTAGACCCCCTTCCTAGGCAGCTCAGCGCGGAGGGCCCTCCCTCCCTCCTGGTATTATTCCCCTCTGCCCTTTCGCACTCTCCTCACCTCCTCAGATTCACTCGCAAACCACTGACAGTACAGTTAAGTCCTCGCTTAACCTCTTCCAATAGGTTCTTGGAAACTGCAGCTTTCAATGAAACCACTATAACAGAATTGATTTTACTATAGACTAATAGATATAAACAAGAGTTACGCTCCTACGGCATAGTTCAGGTCCCAAAAACATTGCCAAACTTCTAAATAAACACCCCCAAACACGTCTAATATTAAACTTGGAAATAAATGTGAGCTCTACATATATTTAAGACAGATAAATAAAAACAGGTAAGATAATTATTTTCCAACCTGCTTATTCAAGTGCAGGGTCAGGTGACCAGAGCCTCTCCCAGAAGCTCAGAATGCAAGGCCAGACTCTATGCCGGACAGGACAGGCCTTCCATTTCAGGGTGCACTCATACCCACACCCACTCATTCAGACTGGAAAACGCAGACACACCCATTCACCTTATGTGCACATCTTTGGGATGCGGGAGGAAACCAGAGTCCGCAGAGAAAACCCGCACCGGAGTGGGGAGAACATGCAAACTCCACACAGACAGTGGCCCCAGCCAGGAATCAATTTTTTTTTTCCCTCATCAATATTATAACAAAACGATATTGAACAAATCTATGTTATTTGAGGAACTGCTGTACTCACTGGTGCCAGACCCTCTGCTTAGAGCTTGGGATTCAGAAAAC